CAAATCTAAAAGAAGGACCTGCTTCCTCGTCCTGCTGTTTCTCGCATTTAATATTGTACTCTACGGATTTATCTACAGATCGAGCCCCGCTTCGGATTGTAATTATGTTGTAGTATACGAACGTGCTATTTTACATTTATAATTTAATTTTACTTTGTAAAAATAAACTCTTCTTTTATTATCTTTCATCATCCTTATCAATTTGATACCTATTAGTGAAATATGGAATGCCTATAATGTGAGAACGAAGGTAATATAGAAAAAAGTGGGAGGCAACATTTAAAAAGGGCTGTGACTGGACTGTTAATTTGTAAACATGCAGCAAAATTTTAACAAAAAGATATCCAGAAATATTACTTCAAATTCCGTAACTTATTAATAATAAGTTACCAATAAGAATTATTAAAAAAAATATTTGTTTTGTATTATTAATACATAACTTATGCTTTTAACAAAATTTCGTTTATTGTGTGTAGAACAAACTGCTTGTAGGTAAAAGCTAACAAAAAGACAATCGCCGTTTTCGTAAAACCTAATACGCCATTTTCGTCAACTGGTCCATTTCTGTAATTATTTTCCAAAAAACGGCGATTGTCACAAAACCCAGTTAGGTTGGTCATGGATAGGTCTTTCCATGACCACCAATGTATCAATAGAACAAATCGGAAGAAAAGTACCAGTAGAATAGAACTAGCAGGAGAGAAAAATCTCAGTAGTTCTGTTACTATAATGACCAGCATCAAACTGTTAGTGTTTGAGGTATATCACCACCAATATAAGGTTTGTGTATTTATTTATATGTAAGAGGTGAACCACGGGGAGAAATAATTGCCCATGGTCCATCCAGGTGAACCAACCAGGTGGTCCACGGGCAAGAAGCGCTACTGAACTACTGTACTGAACTTTTTGAAAAGTTGTATCTAGTTGAAATAATTGTAATATTTGTGTCCGATTAGTTCAACTGATTGAACTAACTTACAGTTGAACTTGGTGGAATAGAGGCTATTTATTAACAGGACAAAAGTACCAGTTTTTCTGACAACAGAATAGTGGGAATAATGACAATGAATAATAATGAATAATAACGCACACACTCAACATAGCCCCGCACTAGGGAAACCCTGTGTCGCGGGTGCCATGGACACACACATAGACAACCACAAATTACACCCAAACTCACGAGAGAAATAAATGTAGGCCATACAAATATTTCTCCCGACCCGGGAATCGAACCTGGGACCTCCGCGTGGTAGTCCGGCATGGTAACCGTTCGGCCACAGAGGCAGTTCAGACAATGTTCGGGCTTCCTTTTTTACTTTACAGTTAACCTAAATATATACAACATAGATGGACAAAAAAGGGGATTACCATAATACCTCTTCAGAACAACACTTCCACTAAATCCTAGATGTTCCACACAGAACAAGGAATGGCCCAGTTCAAAAAGTACCTACCTAAGTCCACTTAGGGATTTTATGCACTATTACCACCATTGCACATAGGGGTATTTGATCCAAAAAGTCGATCAAAATTATTGAACTGCGTTTTCCTACTTGTTACCTTCAATTTGAAGGAAAAAAATACAAAACAAAATATTGAGATGTGTAAATCATGAAATAAAGGTGAAAATATATACATAAATATTTAAAATATTTTTATTTAAAAAAAAACATTAATCTGACGATACGTCCCATCCTTCTTCATCTGCTTCTGTATCTTCATCCTGACATTTATCATCAGCGTCTCATGACACCAACATTTCTATAGTTTCAGGACCAAATGGTTTTTTTGTTTTAGGCGGTTTAGGCCTGATGCAGCTTAAATATGGATCTGATGTCAATAAAAGCCTATTGAGCACATCTATATTGCATTCTACCCTTGAAAATTTTCTTAAATATTTTTCTCTATACTGTCGGAAATGCTTGTTCCTAGCTTCTGCTGCTTCTTCTGATAGAGCCCCTATGGGTTAAAGCGCGTGCTTTATGACTATTGGACCATGAATTAATATTTTATGCAATGTCGGCGACATCGGATGCCATGGATATAACTGAACATACAGTATTGCTGTATCACGACAGTACACAGTAAATTTATTATTGTTAATTTTATGACCACTAGAAATGACTTCCAGAACAGTAGCCATCTTCTTTATCAGAATTAAATCAATTCCTGTTATACTTGCGGATACTTCAGCGTTAGCACAGAACCTCCTGCTGGTGTTGCCATCGTTGCTGTTGCCATAATTGGCCTTGGGTACGTCTACTATGAGTCCAAGCTCACTTCGAAATCTGTTTTGAATTTCTTGGTTTCTTTTTTTGACCTTTCTTTTCTCTTCTTCTGTTCTAACTTGCCACTTTTTTATTTGTAATTTATAAGAAACATGCAACAATGTTTCAAAAAACCTTATTCTGGCATGTAATATAGACAGGCCAAATTCTAAACATTCCGAGTCTATATTATGTACTCCTTCAAATTTGGTTAAATCATTAAACGTCTTGGAAGTTGCTTTGCAAATATAACAACGCATGGTTGAGGACGTATTTGTTGCTACGTTACAGACTTTACCATCCACCATGGTGAATAATAACTTGTGTGCGACAATCACTTCTTCAGTCCCGATTGTCGTTTTGCTTGCTGATAAATTATTGATTTGTTCTTTGTGATAATTAATTTCTTCATTTGTTATGTCCTTTGTTTCGTGTATAAATCTTATCCTCATTGGTCTGCAAAAGCGTGGCGAAGGGGGCGATTGGTTATGCCAAATTATTTTATTATTAGACTTGCAAACTAGATGAAGGGGTACTAATGAAGACTGGAATATGTTAGCATCAGAGTAACTAACATTGGAAAATTTTTGTTTGAACTGGGCTTGTTGAGAGCCATCATAACCCCATTTATACGTGAGCTCTAAGTGCGCTGATTCCTCTGGTGTTAGTGACGTCAAAACTTCTTCCAAATATAATATAAATCGTTTGGCTGTGTGATCTAGTAATGCCTGTAATTTAATTTCAGCACACGTTTCAGTAACACGGTAAGCATCCATACTGGGATAGCAATCTTGTTTTGCTTTTTGAAGAATGGAGTAACATGGATATAATTTTTTTGCACTATCTCTTATGATTTCATATTGCTTTCTTGTTAAAGATGCTTCAACAAACATAGACAAGGCTTGTGTTGTTGTTAACTTAGTAACTTTGGATTCAGGGGCATCAATCTTTCTCACCGCTTTACGACATTTATTACCACGCGTTGGTGATTTCATAATTTCTTTTACTACATGTGCTCCGCTGATATTCCCGGAATCCCTAAGTGCCATTTGACCAGCATACAAAAGAACTGCGGCCTCATTGTCCGTTCTAAAGTGTACCGTTTTGCGGCGTTTACTACAATCGGCCAATTCCTCAAAGGCTTTCTTTGGGCGGCCTACATCTGATACACTTTTAAGCGGTATACCTAAAGTACCTTGCAACCAATCATGGTGTTTGCGTAAAAACTTTGTTTCGTTTCTATTAGAAGCCTGCCATTTTAATTTAATTTCTGACTTAAGTCGCGAAAATGTTTGCCGAAATCGTTGTCTTTGCTCGGTTGGGAAAGTCGGTCGATTTATAATTTTGATCTCGAGTAAATTCAAATTTTTTGACAAATTATCTCCATGACACTCTTTAGCCATCCGAAAAATACTTCCTCGAGTCACAATATTCAAGCCAGAAAAACCTATAATGACAAAAACGCTAGATTAGTAAAGTAGACTCCATACAGAAGTTTGTTTTGGCAAACACGACTTGGGTTTTACATGTATAGATTCATATTTGAAGCACTTTGTAGCAGTATTTCTTTTCTAAACCCTATAGAGTATACATTAAACTAAACTTTAAAAAAAAATAAGAGCCGGGAAAGGTCCGAAAATATAACAAAATGTTTATGAAAACAATTTCAAGATCAGTAAAATAGGTAAAAATTATACAGTTGACTAAAAATAAAAAATCTAATAATTTAATTTAAAAAAAATTAAAAAAAAATATGATTAATTTTGTACATACCTGAAACATCTATATCTATTATGAAAATATTCACAATTCACTAAATTAGATACGAAAACACTGGGTAAATGATGGAAGATTTTTGTTGCGGTAATTAGGTTACAGTACGTGCGATCAGCAAAGTGCTCGAAAGACGAATGACCACGCGGTGAGGAGTCAGCTACAATAAATAAAGATGGCGGCTTATTGTTGTATTATAGATCCTTGTCGGGTCTCAGGTAGCAAAACGTTCCAGGAATTGGCATTTTTGTATTTTAGACTTTTGAGCGGCTTTTTGGGTCAAATACTCCTGTGTGCATTGGTGAAAACTCAACGTCTATACTTTAGTCTCACCGTTTTGTTTCTAACCTGGTTCCTATGCCATGTTTTAAAAATTTGAAAAGCTGCTAAGTCCAATAAGTTGAGTTCAAGATGAACCTAAGTCCAAGAAATCCCTAAGTCCTTTTTTTTATATAATTATCACTAAGTTGATACTGGAGGGTTTGAAGTTCTTGGAATATGCCCATTCATTTGCTAGATTTTTATGAAATTAATACTCAAATGGCAGAATACGCTGAAGATAAAACAAAGGAACTGGAATACGACTTATTCTAGTTCTTCTGTTTCATACTACTTAGTACCTACCTTATTTGGTTTCAGCTGGAAGTCACACACTAGTAATCTAAATCTGAACATGTCAATATTTATTATTATGTTCTATAAAATCTTACAAGAATTACATCACAAAAAACAACTCAGTGTTTCTGGGGACACGCTTCTGTATCTACTGCATGTTTTGTCATTACAGAATACAAAATAAATGTGTTTATGAAAATGCGTGGTGTGGGTCATCAAGGGAGTTGTGTGCATTATCTTAAAGACGGAAAGATCTTTACTATCGCTCTACGTAAATAGATATACGATTGGATGGATTCCCCTTTCTGAAACTTTTAACACTTACATGCAACTCTTATCAAACTGTCATCCATGAGCAGGTTGAAGGCCTTCATTTGTACCACATAATGCAATAAATAATATGACTATGGGTATGAAGAGCCACGGCGACGCTGCAGATGATGACCTCGAGAGATGCCAAACCTGCAAAATAAAAAATAACTCTTATAAAAATTTCGGAGATTTTTTAACTATTAGGGCATATTTACGTTATTGAATATTATGATGTTATAATTATGTTCGTCTAGAAATAAATCCAAATAAGGAGTTAATAATCTCAGTACAGAGTACAAAAAAAAACCGACCTCAAAGTATATGGAATAACATATAATTACCAAGTTTTATTGAAATCGGTTACCGGAAAGTGCGCAAACCTGGATTCATTCCCTAGTTCGCCACTATACGGAATTTGATACCGGAGATAATTAAAAATCGGTTCTCACTACTCAAAGTATATTGAGAGAAAAATGCCTTGAATTAAAGGATAGCAAAATCAACTATTAAAATAATTGCTCATTATACTGAAATTTAGGAACTATTTATAAAAATGAATCTTCATGCGTTCACCCTTAGAGGTGGATGATTTTCTTCAAAATTAAATGGGACCACTATGGAGGTACTATCTTTCCAACAAAAAAAGAATCATGAAAATTGGTTCACAAATACCGGAGATATCGCATAACATACATACAAAAAAACATACAGTTGAATTGAGAACCTCCTCCTTTTTTTGAAGTCGGTTAAAAATAATGAATTTAACCACAGTGAACGGTTTACTTGCGAAATAATTGACCTTTTTGTATATATTAAGATCATTGATTTGACCCCTTTCATGTGAAAAACAGGACGTGACGCGACGCTTCGACTCTGCGCCAGTGTGAGTTGAGCCTTAGTGCGCCGGGATCACAGTTTGGTCGGCGTCTGACGCCTCACGGCGCTCAAGTGACACGCATCGACGCGCGAAGCCGCTCGAATGCTACCAAGCGTCGCGCGAAACCGCTCGGTTCTATATTTGCAAAATACAAATTTGTACCTTAATAATGGGAAAATATAAATGAATATGCTATAGGCGAAAAACATGACGCGTCGCGACGCTTCGACTCTGCGCCAGTGTGAGTTGAGCCTTCAAGCTCTGGTATGTAAAAAATGGCCATCTTCCAGAGCGCGTTACAAAATTTTTACTGACTGTAAATTTAATTTTCCTGATAATGTGACCGGCCTTAAAACGCCAATGCTCGCCATCTCCGTATAATTTTTCTAGAAGAATAATCTGATGTTTCGAAATACGAATCTCTTATTTGACAATCGAACAATTTTAATGAATGTTTTCAGTGTTTTACGAATTTTTACTAAGAAAACATCCAAAACTTTTAAAAAAATTTATAAAAAAATTTATCAAAATTTTCAAGTAATATTTTTCCTACTAGTCTACCCACGTGGCTACATATCTCTCTATCAGTTTTCGCGAAGAAATTTAGCAGGATGTCTTGCTGTGGAGGTTGTTGCGGCGGCTGTGGTGGTTGCTGTGGTGGCTGCGGGCCTTGCTGCGGTGGATGCTGCGGTGGATGCTGCGGTGGGTGCGGGCCTTGCTGCGGCGGATGCGGATCTTGCTGCGGCGGATGCGGTTCTTGCTGCGGCGGTGGATGCTGCGGCGGGTGTTGCGGCGGGTGTTGCGGCGGGTGCGGGCCTTGCTGCGGCGGATGCGGGCCTTGCTGTGGCGGGTGCAGTTCTTGCTGCGGCGGTTGCTGTGGTGGCTGCTGTTGAAAACTTCCAAATTCGGTTTTGCAAGTTTTGTATCTGTTCTGTTGGTGCTATTCACAATTACTACAGTAAACTGTTTGGGAGGTCGTACGTCATGGATACCGTTTTTTGTAACGTTAAGAATAAAATGTGCTTCAATTTATATCTAGGTTCGTGGTTCTTTAATTGGGTGAGTGTAAAATAAAGTTAAATGCAGTAGGTAGGTATACTTGGGTGAATATTTTCAAACAGCCCTTCCTAAGTTGCTTTTTGTTCTATACCTACGCCACTTTTAGAGTAGATCCTGCAACAGTGGCTAAGAAATAAAAGCTCATTTCCTAGGATAGCGCTAGTAGTGTGGGCCTCTATATAGCTAAAGGCTTTGATCTACCAATAAATGGACGTCGGGTCCGCGCTAAAAATTGTCCGAACCGCTGTTTTCTTGTGGTCCCACTACCTTTTCATTACTTCCTGTATGTTTAAATACGGGCATTTAATATCGCAAATAAATATGAGAATGAATGTCAGTCTTTAATCAACCGACAGCGAGCTTGTCAATTATGCCGTACTGCATACTAGAAACTTAAAAATTACTCAAGAAGGTAGTGACTGATTGAAACTTATTGTTGCACTTAGTGGAATAGAGGGGAAAAAACAGGATGGATGGTGTATCATATTTTCATTAAGTAGTAAGCTATATTTTTTAAAATAAAAAGTAGGTAAGTGCGCATTTGACCCCACGTCACCTGATGGAAAATGATGAGATGGACTATGTGACTATGACTATGAGCATGCACACCTAAATGTCTATTCACTCTAGCCTTGAAAAGGTGGTCCAAGGCGTTCGAGGAACAAGACCGCAGAAAGGGAATACCACTCTCTAGCCGATCGCCATATAAATGTGGAAGCGAAACGCTTCGTGCGAATCCGGGGAATATTCCGACATAAGGGTGGAATCCCAGCCTACGTAGACGTGCGATAATAGAAAGGGGAAGACGGAATCAAATTATGCAATTCCATCGCCCACTCTCCGTGATATATCTTGTAGAATATCGATAAGCTGGCAACTTTATGGTGCTGTTCAAGGCTCTGCAACTTCGCCTCTTCTAATTTGGAGTCACCTACAAGCCTCTTGGCACACTTGTCGATTGAATCCAAGGTGGCCAGTTGGTATTTAGCAGAGTCATCCTATGAGTGGCAGCAGTACTCCATACACGACCGGACTTGTGCTTGGTACAGCTGAAGCAACTATCCCGGTGTGCAGGTTAGCAGTAGGTCCAAGCAATTAGCCGTATGAGACTCAACATCTGGGATTCTTGTGGCGCCACTGACAAGCTGGGAAAGGCTTAGCGTTAACGCACGTTTACACGTCTCTCTTCCAGCATAATCGGTCATCTGGTACGGGAACAACCATTTTTGATGTGCATTGAAGTCCCCCAGAATGACTAGTTGCGCCGTTGGGTACCTATATTGAGTCTCATCAGACGTCTCGCTCAGATATTGGAACAGCTTGGTCGTCTCCTGATCTCCACTGTGCGAGCGGTGGACACAGCAGTACACTATTTGTGTAACTTCCGTGTCAACCAGAAGCAACAAAACAGAAAAGCTCGGTGCCTCAAGGTTCTTGAAGTTTATCCTACACATTGCATGCGCAAAAGACACAGATATAAAAGTAATGAATAGCCAGGTTTGGGCGCGCGTTTAGTGGAAAAATCTTCTTTCGTAACTAGTTATGAAAAACAGTTACGAAGATGGACCAAAATATTCCTTTTTAATAACTGGTTACGAAACAGTGAAGGAAAAATCTTCTTTCGTAACTAGTTATGAAAAACAGTTACGAAGATGGACCAAAGGGTGCAAATCTATAGAAGATAGGTCTAATACGTCTGTAGTAATTCCAAGACTGGATCGGGGGCACTAAAGGTATGGTCCCATACAAAAAATACACATTTAATTTTGTTCTACTAAACTATTAGATAATATGGCAAAATATGACAATATTTGTTTAGGACAATAGGATCTCTCGATTGGCATTTTTTTAGAGAGGTATCGTGAAAAAAAATCCAATGTCCGCAATATCGCAGATCCGACCCACTGTGCGTCGCAAAGTTAAGATAAATATACCTGCCTGTCCCCAATTACGTAAATTTTTAATGTTCAGTGGTTTCCCGAATCCCGAAAAGGTCCAGGACTTAAAAAATATTGACGTAAGGCAGTCTCCATTTTCTGTCTATGTTTTTCGAAATTTAGGTAAAAAACCCTACTTATTCCGATCCCCGGTAATCTAAAATAAAACTAATAAAATATTGTTGTACTCGTTTTACGGCTTTCCTGAACTGTAATTCTAATTATTTATTTATTTATTTAAATATATACCACAAAGTAAATTACGAATTTTCAGAAACAATTTATATATTTGTGTAGAAAGGCGAGCTTATCCCATAAAGCGATTTCTTCCAACTAACCTTTGAAAATTTGAGAGGAAAGTTTGTTTTTGGGGTGGCACTAAAAATAGATAAATAAACAAATGGAATATACTATACTCAATAAATACACAGATAAACTTATTATATCAAATGTACATACGAATACATATTAAGTAATGTTGATAAATTAATACATACAAAGTCTATAATAAAGTGAATGGATAAAATAAAACAATAAATAAATATATCAAATGTAAGTAAATATTTCATAAGCTCTAACATTGTGGAGTTTGAACAATCACAAAACTTCTAACGAGCACTCTTGAAAACCCAAACCGAAGGCGAAGTCTGACCTCGACTGGGAAAAAGGTTCCATATACGTGCAGCATTTACTGTGAACGAGTCCGAATATTTTTGGGAACTGTGTTGTGGAAGGACGAGGGACAAATTGGTGCCAGAACGCAGGCGGTCACCCATAGCCTGACGGTATTGAAAACGCTCACGTAGATAGCTAGGTGAAATGGGATGGTGCAGGATTTTATAGAGTAACGAAACGTGTGACGGTGTGACCTTTTGGATGGATACCCCTGAGCCCAGGGAGACTCAGGAGTTATGTGGGGACTCTCCCTCCAGACTGGAGGGACTACCCCACTAAAACCCCCCCGGGTTTCCCTCTCGCCGGTTGAGTGGGCGCCGTGGGATCAGTGAACATTCACCACGACGCCGCCCGGCCGCCCTAGCTTACGCCAGGGCTCCCGCGCCAACGGAGGGGCGAGTCGGTTGTCCTCCGACCCGCCCCCCAGACGAGTGAGGCCGTGCAATGCAGGCTCCGGAGTCCCTGTCCAGAACCCGCTGGTCTCACTAGGGGATCAGGCGAGCAGCGAACTGCCTTCGCCTTCTCCCCGTACGTCTGCGCCGAAGCGGGTGCGCGTCCGGCGCGTCCTCGCTCACCCGCTCCGCGGCCTCCTTTTGCGACATAACCTCTGCGCAAAAGGAGGCCACCGCCTCCCAGGACTCCTCGCTATCGAGGATGGCGGCAACCACGCTCGGCAGCGAGAGGTCCTGCCCTACAGTCCCCGTCAGAGTGCGGCGCTGCTCATCCCACCGGCTACACACCTCTAGGGTGTGCTGCGCGGTGTCATCCGCAGCGCCGCACTCGTGGCACGACGGGGACGATTCCCTCCTCGCCATCTTGTGCAGGTAGTGACCGAAGCAGCCGTGCCCGGTCAGCACCTGCACAAGGTGGTACGACAGTGGCCCGTGGGACCGGTTTACCCACTCTACGAGGACAGGGCGGATCGCCTCTATGGTACGAGCGTCATAGGGGGGATCCGCCAAGCCCTCTTTCCACCGGTCCCGCATGGTGACGGTGTGACCTCCTTACAAAAGGTGGGACCTTTTTGTATCGCCTCGCTCCATTCGTATCGTATGGTTTTTTCTTCTTCTCATATCATATTTAAAATTTTGAATTGTTCCATTCTTTCCCTCGCATTCTGATTTTGTTTCGTTCCATCGTCACTCTTTGCGCGGTCGCGGTAGCGAAAACATCTACTTTGTTATATTTTAACCGTTTACATTTTAAGATATTAATATTGTTGTTGTACTGTAAGTCAATGGTTGTACTAAATAAATTCGTGTAAATCGGACTTTAGTCTTTTCAACTGATAAAACTTGCTAAGTAAGACGTATGGAGGCTGCGGGGGCTGCGGAGGCTGTTACTATCCTTGGACCAGGCTATAATTACTGCTATCCAGGCTATTTTACAGTCTACGGAATGCCACCAGCACCAGCAGCGCTATTACACTGGCGCCCGAACTAATTTTAGAAGAAACTATGAAGAATACCAATAAATGAAGAACAAGACAGTGAAATTTTTTTAATAACAGTGAAATATTGTGAAAAGTGACGTTACATAATTTCATTGTACACTGCAGATCGCCTACACACCCCATATTTCAGACAAGAGACGACTGCCGTTACATTCAGCTGGTTACAAATGTAACTGAACCCAGAGTTGGTGTACCGGTAGCATAACAAGCACAGACCTATCAAACACCAAACTATCCACAAACTCCCAACAGTACACTTTCTTCAATTTCGATATCTATATACCCATGTGTAGATTCACAAGTGGTTGAACTTGGAGTTTAAACCTTCGGTTATTCCAAGTGGAGACGATTCTGACTTACAGTTTGTTTTGGGAGAGTATCCCTACAAGTCACTGCTACTCAACATTATACACCACATAATTTTATATTACATACATAAAAACATCTCATTTTAGTATTTAGTATTTCCTAAATTACGTAAAACATTTTCTATTTTGTAATTTTTTATAATTGACATAATTATTTTTCGTTTATTCAAAATTTTTGACTTACTGTCAAATTTATTTTTCTCGTAATTTTGCCAAAATTTATTTTTATATTTCTTTTCAATAATTCAAAAGTTTGTAAACCGAACTGCATATAATACTCTTTTGTCATTTTTTCTAAATACGATGGAACAATCAAAGTCTTACATCTTAAAAAATTACCGCGAAAAGCCAAGAGGAATAATAGAAACATATTTAATTTAAATATTCATCACCATATTTTTTCGGTTTCATTTACGTGAATTGTTTTTTTTTTTGACTACTCATAATAAGCCTAGGGTCACTCTTAAATATACTCTTACTATATATTCATATTCTATTTCCCCTAATTACTCCCTTTTAAACCTTTACAAGGTTCACACGTCTCTCGACGTGCTGCTGTACCTCAGCGTGCAGGCCAGTGGGGCATTGAACCAATGTAGAGCATCATATAACTTTCACAATGTTGGCGAGTGGTGACCAACACGAATTTAAGCCTTACACCGTAGTGGGCGGCATCACTTTAACTGTGGTTACGGTTTTTGTCTATTCTGATAGGCTGGTATATGTGCGGGGAATACGAAAGTTTTATGAATGTAGTATGAAATAGGTACGAAAGGTTTTGTGAATGTAGTTTGAAAGAGGAAGTCGACCCAATGTATATAGCATTATTTATCATTCACATATCTAAATTTGTCACGCATCTAAATTAAAATCTCTCTTAAATTAGCTACCTTCCCTTCTCTTACAATAATCCTCCTCTATTATTTCTCTTGCTTTATTCCATTTTGCTAT